AAATAATTCTTTAAAGACTGCTCTGGGTGTTTATTTCCAAAGTTTAGAAGCAAAACATTGAAAGAGATAATTAGATATCGTAGAAGGAGAGAAGAACGAACATAGATATTGAAAACCTTTCTATAACGGTTCATTGACATTTTATATGGCCATGGACCACTTTAATTTGCATGGAGACAAGGATCAAGGAGAAAAAAACTATGTGTTATATATCCTAGAGTCAATCATTTGAAATATGATTTAATATTAAATAAAAAATACAAAAAAACTAATTTTATATGAGTTGAATAAGGCATGTTTTAATATTTTTTTAGTGGGGCTCACTTATGAAAAAAGTGAATATTATATGAAGATTAATATATCGATCGGGTATGAAATAGTCTAGTATATAATTATTAAATCTATTATGGTGAGTCGACTTTCTAGTTATGATTAGAGTTAATTTGAAAAAAACTAAAACTATATTGGAAGTTCTAGTATCCTGCATGAAACATTTTAAAAATATTTAATATGAATATATGTATATATTCTATGTTAAAAGTTCAAAAACATTCAACGTGAATGAAAACTATATATATATAGTAATTTCATATAAAAAAGATAAAAAATATTTTATAAAAATATAGAATATAAAAACATAAACAAGATAAAAATTAATTGATATTTTTTAAGTTTATTAACAAAAAAAAGATTTAAATTTGATACAGGTTTAATTAGATCAATTAAAACTCATACAAGATTCAATGTTAACCTGCTAGTCCGGGTTGAGTTTTATAACTTAGGGTTAGAGTATTTATTTTTCAGTTTTTTATTAAAAAATTATTTATATTTATATTTTAAAAATAATTTTGAAAAAAACTAAATATCTTTATTTTACTTTAAATTAATTATTTTTAATATTTTCAGATTATTTTAATGTGTTAATATTTTAAATAAAAAATATATTATGTTAATATATATTATTTAAAAAATAATTTAAAATCGCATGCTCGGTAGTGTTTGTAGGGACATAAACACCATGGATCCACTCTGGAGAGTGGAGACAAGTGTGTCGGGGGCCTTAAGGCTAACATGGCTTCTTGGAAGTCGAGTCGTCCTCGTCAGGTTTCTCGAAGCAAATGATCACATGACGTATCTACGCCGAAAATAGCGCGCTTCGCACTCAGAGCTGGACCCTGACCTCCCAGGTAAGTATCATGATTCATGACCCATAGGGTTTTGGGCTGCTGTTTCTTATGAGTCATGACTCGTGATTTGTATAATGCGTCCAGTGATAAGGATACAAATCCTAGGCCCATCATTGAGGTGTAAACCAAGCCCGCCACAGCTATGATATTTTACAACATGATAATTCAAAAGAATTTTTATTTCAATTTATCCAGCCCATTGTATCATTTTGGTAGATGATTATTATTTCCTAACTATTGAAATTCATATTTTATACACTGGCAATGGAAATGGTTGGAAAGTGGCATGCATTCCCATCTCAAGGCAAGCAAGCTAATGATTTATTTATCTCAAATGAACAAATAATTATTAGTTAATAATTTTTTTTAAATAATTCTTTTATGAAAAAAACATGGAAGATACATTATTTACTACTACTACTATTTTTATTATTATTAAAATAAATATTTGTGCTAGCTTGTGTATATCTTGACTAATTTCAAGAATTCTGAAGTTAATAACCATGTAAGCTTTTAATTACCATGAAGTTTATGAAACTTGAATTGGTGATCTTTAAAAAACAAATATAAAATTTGATTAGTTAAATCATAATTCTTATAATCATATTGACACATTTATTTATTTATTTGATTTACGTGGATGTCCGGGCTAGTTTATTTGCACCACAACTAATCTCACGACTCACTGAACACCCTACAAACTCAATGAGCATGAAAAATACCGCGGATATGACAGGTATACACACGAGAACTCAAATTCAGGAGCAGCGGAAGGAGACAAGCTCCTTCTACCGCCAGGTGAAGACCCTCAGTGCATTTGATACATTTATTTATTTATTTTATTTATTTATTTGATAATCGGGGTATCTGGGTCAGCTTACACGTACCTCGACTATTCCCCAAGCCCACTGAACATCCTGCAAGCTCAGAAAGCATGTAAGGTACCGCGGGGGTGACAAACGTACCTTACAGGGATGGACCTAAGAGAGACTTGAAGGGAAGAATCCTCCAACGCCACTTCTACTGGGACTCGAACCATGTTCGAATGAAAGAGGGTGCTCCCAACAACCACTGAGCCACAACCCTTGCTGGTCATTTGATACATTTATTTTTTTTAGATTAACATGGGTGTCTAGGCTAGCTTGCGCGCACCACGACTAATCCCACGGGCCCTGAAGGTAATGATCATGTAGGCCCTGAAGTTAATGATCATGTAAGCTTCCAATAGCCATCATATGAGCAACCAAGGACTCGAACCTGAGACCACGGAGGGAGCAAACCCCTTGGTCTCAAGTTTTTACCACTTGGCCACCACCTAGATAGTTTCATTTGATACTTTTTTTTTTAGATTAACGTAGGTGTTCGGACCAACTTGCGCACACCATGACTAATCCCACGAGCCCTGAAGTTAACGACCATGTAAGCTTCCAGTGACCATCATATGAGCAACCAAGGACTTGAACCTGAGACCAAAGAGGAAGCAAACCCCTTGATTCCAAATTTTTATCACTTGATCACTACCTAGATGATTTTTTTTTATATACATTTATTGATAGTAAAGGTCGTAGCTTTTTTGGAAAATAAAAATTTCCTATTTTTTAAAAAGCCAATGCATTACATTTCCTGTTTCAAGGAAAGATAGAGAGAAGTGTTGAAAGAATCGAGAGGACCAGTGACTAGCACCGAGAGGGTGACTGCACCATGCCCATGCAGTTTTTCAAGGGCCTTGGGCGAGTTTGCTTTATATACATTTATTGATAGTAAAGGTCGTACCTTTTTTGGAAAATAAAAATTTCCTATTTTTTAAAAAGCCAATGCATTACATTTCCTGTTTCAAGGAAAGATAGAGAGAAGTGTTGAAAGAATCGAGAGGACTAGTGACTAGCACCGAGAGGGTGACTGCACCATGCCCATGCAGTTTTTCAAGGGCCTTGGGCGTGGAGTGTTTGTTGGTCTCCCCTGTAAGAGATTAGGTTTGTTGGTTTTTAAGCTGCTGGTGTAACCCTCTTGTCGTCCTTCTGAAGTTTATATAGCTACGTTCTTCTGCATCTTCGTTTATCGCTATTAAAATTTTCCTTGGCATAATACTTGTATTTATCTATCCCGCATTCGAAGTGTCGCGAGTTATTATGCAATGGATTAAGTGTCTTCAGCATCATAGTAGATTTTATAGTTTTAATTTGAAAAAAAAAATTAAAAAAGAATTTTAATTTAATTTATGTTAGTTAGATTAAAATATGTGTTTGTCTAAAATCATGGTTGAAATCACACTTTTACAAAAAAAAAATTAAAAAATATTTGATTAAAATTATCGTTGAAAATAAAATAATAAAAAGAATATATATCTCCTAACATAAATATATAATTATTAACATATAAAAAATATAGCAAAATAATATGCAGACCATGGACTAAATTTTGATAATAATCTAAAAACACAAACAAAAAAGAAAAAGATATGTATATGATATATACATAAAAAAATAACACTAAATCAAAATATTAAGTTTGTATAGACAACTATCTAAGAGGTGACTAGTTATAAAAATTTAAAATTAAGAGGTTTGTTATCTTTATGGTATCAAGTTTGAATTCTTGATTACCTATATAATAACCACTAGACAGTTATATAGTTATTAATTTATAAATTTATAAAATTAATTATGGTATACACAAGTTAGTCCAGATATAAATATTAATCTAAAAAATAAAAAAAAAAGCTTGTATAGGCATTGTAACATGTTTTAAACACGGATGAGATATGGATATGGATTTGAAACCATGACTTGTTGATACAAGTAGATGGGGTTATTTGAGTTACATAATTATTAATTTTTAAATTTATAAAATTAATTATGGTATACGCAAGTTATTCCGGATATAAATATTAATCTAGAAAATAAAATAAAAAAGTTTGTATAGACATTGTAACATGTTTTAAACACGGATGGGATATGAATATGGATTTGAAACCATGACTTGTTGATACAGGTAGATGGGGTTATTTTTGTCGAGCCATGATTTTATTAATAGTAACGAGCATTGCACGAGGTGGGCTTATCTTTGGAATGCTGAGCAAAGTAACGAGAAGCAATAATTTTTAGCTTTAGCAAATCTTGTGGTTTGACGTTATTTTTAAGTGAAGCCCATCCTTAAATCAAATTTCAGATTCTTAATCAACTAAGTATAAATTATGGTCGGGACAAACACAGCTTGAATCACAATACCGAATAAATCCTTAAGATACAAGCCAATGCAATATCTCTGGGGAAAAGTGCAAAAATTGTCAATTTAATTCGGTGTATCTTTGGAAGAAACTTTCTCGCGAGTTAATTCTACCCGAGATGTTCCAATGCTTAGAATCTCGAGTTAATTCTGACCGAGATGTTTCAAGATTATTTTCTCCATCGATTGAGTTGAAACCCGTTCAATTTATTTACATGCAGCCCACCAGTTTTTCAGTCTTTTTTTTTTTTGATTAAGTCCAGCTCTGAACAAGGAGAAATAACTTAATGCGAACATTTGCTAAACACTCCAACCCTTAACTTTGGCAAGCCACGCACTCCTCACGGTTTGCAAGGGAGCAAACCATCTGAACCATTTTGGTATCATCATCATCAGCACTGCTCGCTTTCAGCTTCTTGTCATGAGTCGCCCAAAATAACTTAATGCGAACATTTGCTAAACACTCGAACCCTTAACTTCGGCAAGCCACGCATTCCTCACGGTTTGCAAGGGAGCAAACCATTTGAACCATTTTGGTATCATCATCATCAGCACTGCTCGCTTTCAGCTTCTTGTCATGAGTCGCCCATGAGTTTGACGTGTCCTACTCTGGTTCTGCGACATCCTGACATCGAAAGACAATCCTGTCAACTCTTCCTCGCTTCAAGGCAATCTATTACTGCTGGATTGATAACATCAAGCAGAAGCACTTATGAGGCGCATTTGCTAGCTCACCTTGCTGACGGCGATTTTGTCATGAAGGGAATTAATGGCTAGTTGCCAAAGCAGTCACCAGTAAACCAAGCACGAGAAAAGGTTGCGCGCTTGCCTGAAATACAATGCCAGTGCTTGTAAGATAATTGGCTAAAGCATTTATTCTTGCATGTGAACTCCTCGAGCACCAGAAGGTAAACTACACGTGGACTTGATTGATGCGATGTGGGCTGAATATTTGTTCAAGAAGACAAGCTCTAGAACATTACTGAAGAATATACCACATGCTATTTTTGTTAGTTCTGGCTTACAGATTTTCCAGGTAGTTATGATTTTCATATGACTACTGGACCATTCAAGGCCTGACAGATATCTTAGTATTGAATTGCAAGCAACATTTGTCTATCTTTTCTTAGTTATGCTGTGCTATAACATATAGATAAATTGGTTGCAGCAGTTAATTTCCACTTCACACCACAGGATAATCTCAAAGAACAGAAGTTACAAAGGTAAGAAATTCATGGTACCTGATATTTAACATCATACTTCACCGGGTCCTTCAGGAAGTACTGAAACTGCAGCGCACAAATTTTTGCAAGAAAAGATCAGCATAGTGTTCATTCTCTCAACAAACTATCATTTCTTATTTCTTTTTGAGAAATGCCACCTACCATTTCGAAGAAGGAAAAAAAAGGGACATTAATAAAAGAAGCAAGGAATTCAACCAGCAAGAGCGAAACTAAACGCATGTCAATTGGATGCCATTTGCAAGTGACATCAAAACCACACCCTTAGTCTAACCTAAGAAAGAAATATGTAACCCCAAAAAATGTCTGTGAACTGTAAGCTCATTATACTTTAGGAATCATGTTTCACCTGAAAAAAAACTTGTGGAATTATCAAACCGAGCAGGGCTAAGGCATAATACGGTTTACCGGCTCCTAGCAGATAACCTGCATTAATCAATACAGCCTGAAATGAGATGTACCTTCACCACTTTCACCAAGATATATTTCAAATGCATAAAAAACAACCCTGTTTCCACCAAAACCACACAGCACATACATGGTTAAATTGGGTGGGGGGGAATCATACATTTTGTTTCACCAAAATCCCTCGTCCCTCAATAACTATACAGACATTCCTACAGCTTTATGGTTCGTGATTCCTACAGCTTTATTTTGTACAAAAACAACCATTCAATTATCATTTTTAACTTCACTGGGAAAGAAGATGTGCCGTCTAGTAGAGACCCCAAGGCTTTTATTATGTTTAATCCATAGTGGATCATCTCCCAAACTTGAAGCAAAACCAGTTACATTAATTATCACAAAAATATTTTTTGTAGTCTAGAAGAACACCAGCAATACAGGCGAAATAAGGTAAATGAAAGTGTAAAAAGCAACATACCAGCCACGGATATCTGAGTTACGTCGATAGCACCAACACAAATCCATTTAGCAGTTTCAGCACCAAAAGCTACTGGTAGTGACTGCTCAAATTGCATCGCAATATGAAAGGTTGAAACAAAGACAGACAATGGTAAGAGACAATTCTATTTATGGAAAGCAAGAGCTATGCATTACAAGCATATGTGTGAGAGTGCATTAACCTGGAGTCCAAGTAGCCTATCTCCTTCAATACTTTTAAAATCATTTACAATAGCAATACCTAGCTGAAGATATTGAACAACTGTGAATTAGCAATGGCCAGACAGGACAGATTAATCAGATATTAAGTCACTTCAGTCAACTGTACCCCAGCTATGCTGTACAAGAGTGTTAGGACAATTATGTCAGGTGTGAGGGTCCCAAACAAAGCTTGACCAGCCCACCTATGAACAAGAGACTAATTGAAGTCAAAGCTTTCTTACTGTCATGGTTCATAACAGAGTCTTTACTTTCAATAACATTGGGAAATACACGCGGGTGACATATAGTTTCAACTGAAAACTGGTGAGATACATGAGTGCAACAAAACCATGAGCACACAGGTTCTCTTAAACACATTTATAAATAACAAGCAATATATAACCACCCAATTTATCACTTTCTAGGTGCTTTATGATGAATAAAGATTTGAATGATCACAGGAATGAAGGGTTGGTTCTAAAGCATTTTCCATCGATTCAATTTGTGTTAGCACAAAAGATCTTTAGGCCAATAACTCATAAGCCACAAAATGTGTCCTAGGCTCTTGGCCTCTTCATGGGCATCATGTGGACAATTTGAACCAGTATATAGTCGTCTGAACTTTTTTCTTTTAGTTTCTGTAATATCATGAAAATGTCGGGTTGAAAAGACAATGTTGCCTTTATATGAATAATTGTGGTCATTTCTGATTGAGAGGCAAATGGGACATTTAACAAAATTAAATAAATATATATAGTCCCAAAAAAAAAAACATAAAGGAACCAGAAAACACGAGAGAGACAAAACGAAAGAAATGAAGAAGGAAAAGAAGAGAGGGAATAAATGGATCATGGGTGATGAAGAAATTGGGTTTTTAAGGTAAGATCATAATTTGATACACATTATTTTTATTGTTAATATGTTTTTGAATTTGTTGAGATTGATAAAAATTTGATGTATATATTCTTAAGTTTGATTGATGGTCATAAAGAATTTGAAGATGTTAAAGAATTGATTTAAAGAAAATATATTTGTTAATAAGGATGTGGAATGGGTTTAGCTTTGAAGTTAATTTTGATTTAGGTTTTGTTAAATTTTATGGTTTCATGATTTAATTGATAGATTGATATAATAAATTCTAAAACATTGTAAGATGGATTAAAAGTGTTTAATGGTTTGAAAGTATTAGGTTAACAATTATATATAAACATGAGAAGTTATCAGTTTTAAGTGTTTAAAAAAGATTTCTACTCGACCCAAAATAGATATAGTTTTTGACCCAAATTTTACATGTACAAAAAGCATATTCTGTCTAGTTTCTAAAAAAACAAACAGTGTATTAATCTGATTTTTATAGAGATAGTTATGGTGAAAATAATAAAAATACGTAGGTTATCTGGCAGCAGCGCCCATAAATGATTTTAGGGCATATTATAAATTCTATAAAAAAAATTACTAGGTGAATTATATATGCATAGAAAAGTAATTGAGACTAGTTTACAATCCAAAAAGCAGAGTGAAATTTTGAATTTTCTTGAAAGATTTATGGTTAATTTATTAGGCATTGTGCAATTGACAAACTATGGTTATTAATAGTTTAAGAAACTTTAACGGATTATATGCTTGTGAATAGGTTGTTTAATCTAAGATTTTGGACTTTCATTATTTAAGCAAGGGAGGTAAGTAAATCTTTACGGATTCTATTATTTAAAAACAAAATAAATATTTTTCTTAATTGTGTATTTTTCCTCTTCTACATGTATTATTCTTTAAAAGAAGATCAAACACTTGCTGTGTTCAAATTGATTTGATTATATGTAATGTTTGTGAATGAACGGTATAAAATTTTTGCAAGCATGTTTTATAAACTGATTTATGAAATAAAGTGTTTTGGAATGAATTTGTAAATAGTTACATAATTGCTCTCGTATAGCTACGAATGAAGTAATAAAGTTAGCTTTCGTATCATCTGGGGTTGAATGCTAGATGATTAATTGAAAGGCGGGTCAACAATCACTAAATAGTATATGAATGTCAGCATCCATTTTATGAAGAACGACACAGGGAGGGTTACTCACCATGGCAAACTGATATAGCTTGCTCCCAGAGCAAAGTTTCCGATCCATCCATTTTGTTTTAGCTACAACAATATTATAAACCAAGTTAAGAGTTAATTGCAACAGCAATAACGATGTTCTATTGTTTGGCTTCATGAAAGAGTGGAATGAAAACTCTACCTTCAAAGGGGGAGCGGAGTATATGTACGAAATCAAGGATCCACCCAAAGCAAGGCAAAATACTATAGGGATGTCATGCCCTGCCTATTAAAGAATAAGAATTCAAGAACTAGAATAATGTCATCCACAGCAAACACAGGCTGATTCAACATTTGAATTGCTTACCCAAACATCCAGTAAACCAGCCAAGCCAAGGCCTCCTAGAAGCAGAATCCAGATTTGGGTGATAACCTACAGAGAGTTGCACGACAATACTTTAGAAGTGTTATCCACTATTCCTTTTTACACAATAATTAAATAAACAAAGATAGTTATATTACAGACCTCATTCTCGGAAATTACCCCTGATGGAATTGGACGATAAGGTTCATTAATTGCATCAATCTCTCGGTCATAATAATCGTTAATCGTCTGTGGAAGTGAAATGTAAGAAAACCTTTGAGATTTGAATTCATATATTTATATAGTTAAACCCCAGAGGACCTACTCCACATGCGTGAAAGGGTACCTGCGTATAGCCAGTAAGAAGTGGTCCAGACATAAGCATGCACACAATTGATTTGGCAACATCCTCCAAGGTCCAATCAAAGTTTCCTGCCATTTAAGCAAAATGCATCAGAAGTGAGTTCATGCATAATTTGGGATTATCTCACATGGAAAAGGGAAAGCTTTAAAACGGCAATAAAATTAAGGGGATAGCCTACTTGTAGCGTCTACAATCTGGTCATCCACATACCAATGGAAGGCCAAAATATGTCACTCTTAAAGAGAGTACCTGAAGCAGCAGCTCCACAAACTACTCCCAAAACCAACGGAGGCCAAGTAACAGGTTTTGTTAGCTGAAGACGAATCTTCCATTTATTCTGCAGCACAAAATTTACACAATCAACTCTACCATTTGCAAAACCCTGTAATCCTTCTCTTCACTCTTCCCTCGCACGACAACATGCAAAATCACAAAAACAATTTACAATCGGAAGCCAGCAAAAATCCCAAAATCTAGGCATGGACCACAAAATCTTCCGAGACGAGCTTATGACCTTCCTTATTGCAACAATTTACTAGGATGTCTTTTCATCACTATGAATTCTTCAAGGGCACATTTATTCAAATTTATAAACCTTCTGTACTTGCCGAGTCTCAATTTTGACTCTTTAGGGTCAACTTTCAGGAGATTGTAACTAAAATTAGTAGAAATATTAACACTAGAAACATCAGTCAATCAATCTCATCCGTTTATTACCATCTGAGATATATTAAACAATCTGTCTGACTATCAAATCAGATTATATACACAAAAGAATAGAGTAGCAAATTAAGCACTATTTTAAAAAATGAATATCATAAGTTGATTTGAAGCTTGATGAATATAAATAAATAAGGGCATTGAGTTCTGACAGTTTCTTTAGCAGCTCCTCTAATGCCAAGAAGCTGGTTAAAGCTGGAACCGCCACCACTATCCGGCGCCTTATCTGGTGCCTGAGGTTTTGCTGCAATTTTTACACGCAAACTTGACACCATTTTTTAAGATTCATCTTTTAAAAAAGAAACACAAAGTCCACGAGCTTAGATTAAACCATAAAATGTCAAAAAAAGAGGAAAAAACCTTCATTTGCATCGGTCTTTGCCGCTCCTATCGTAACTCTCCGCCCTGCAAAACACCATAATAACAGAAAGAAAGAAAGGCCAGGTTGAAGTTGAATAGTCGTTTGGTTTTAGAAATATTTAGCTGAGTGACGCAGGGAGTTAAGCCGACTCACTTGAGAGAGAAAGAGAAAGCGGAGAGACAAGATACTGAGTTCCAACTCGTTTCCTTTTAAAGTTGGATAAATTCAAGGACAGAGCTGAGTTGAGTACACACGCCATGTTTTTACAGATGAAAAAAGCAGGCTGGCTAGCTTTGGAGAAGTGGAGTAGGTATGATTTGTGTTTGCTGATGACACCGCCTGCAGTAGAAATACTAGTTTAAGGGAGACTACGAGGGAGGTGGTTACGGTGTTGTTAATTATATTTAAATTGAGGTCTGTCTGTGACGTGGCTTTTCCTTTAATCGTTAATTGTAGTCTTTGACCGATCTCGTTTGTACCAAAGAATCTCGGACATTGTGTCATTGTCTGTTTTTGACGTTTGTGTAGGAGGGATGCAAGGAGTAGCCGAAACGACACAACACCTTTTTTTTAAAGTGATTTTTAAAAAACAATCACCCAATGTCATCCTAAAAAAAATTGATTTTTTATGTTTGTTTTTTATGTGTCTTATTTAAAAAAATATTTATTTTAAATTATTTTTTTATTATTTTTTATTTTTTAATATGTTGATATAAAAAATATTTTAAAAAAAAATATTATTGTAATATATTTTAAAATAAATTTTTTTTCAAAAAACACCAAATACTATTTCAATCTAATTTTATATATATATATATATATATATATAATCCAATCTAATTTAATTGGATAGACGAATAGTTTATTGTGTCACCTGGTGTTTTTAAATTATTTTTTTGTTATTTTTTATTTTTTAATATGTTGATATAAAAAATATTTTTTAAAAAAAATATTATTGTAATATATTTTAAAATAAATTTTTTTTCAAAAAACACCAAATACTATTTCAATCTAATTTTATATATATATATAATCCAATCTAATTTAATTAGATAGACGAATAGTTTATTGTCTCACCTGGTGTTTTTAAATTATTTTTTAATTCTATAGAATTGTAATTTTATTTTTTAATATAATATTTTGTGGTATGAAAATCAAAATACATTAATTTTTATTTTTATTTGATAATTAAAACATTAATTTTTTAAATATTTAATGATTGATTAATCATATTGTAAATTCTACCCGCATGATAAATTTTTTTATCTAATTTCCGTACAAGAATAATATACAAAACGTTGCCAAGATTAATTTCTTGATTGAGGTTTCCTACATTTGTCAGGGTCTATTTATTCAAAATAATTTTTATTTATAAATATATTAAAATAATTATTTTTATTTTTTTAAAATTATTTTTAATATCAACTCATCAAAACAATATAATAATATAAAAAAATTATTTTTTTTAATTTTTAAAAATACAGTGGAAAACTTTCATTAAGTTTGACTTTTATTTTTAGTGATGTAAACTTCGTTTTTTTGGTGTATCTAGGTTTTAATTGTAGGGATTGCGTAATACTTATTTTCTTTTAGGCAAATCTCCAGTGAAATCTCATGTGTGTTTTCTTTGATATTATAATAATAATTGTTTTTTAAAATAATTTTGTATAAAAATAATATTTTTTTTTATTTTTTAAAATTTATTTTTAATATTGATACATCAAAACCATGAACTATCATCATCAATTTTACTATAAAAAATTGGCATAAACGATAAAAGAAAATGTCAACAGGGTGAATTGAGAATGTTGAATGTTATGATAATTCAATAAAAAAAATATTATTTTTCTCTAGAGAATCAAAATGTATTTATTATGCAGCTGGAGATTAATTTGAGATTTCTCCATCGGTGGCTAAAATTTTACTTGTATGTGAGATAATTCACTGCTTTCTTGTAAAAAAGAAACAAATATCGAAATACATATTAATAAAAATAAATAAATAAAAAGATAGAAACAATCAACATGGTTTAATTGCAAGAAAACTACTCCTTGACGGCAAGAAATCAAGGATTTACAGAAAATAATTTATAGACGAGGATTTCAAGTGAAGCATTTCAGTTGCTGCCTTGCTGGTTTTTCCGGTGAGGAGTGAAATATTACGGCAACAATATTTCTTACGAAGAGTGTAGGAATTTGGAGAAGGATTCAATAATTTTCGTTCAGAGCTTATCAAGTTTTTTTTTTTTTAACCATCATAATAATTAATATTTGTTAGAATCCCACGTTGAAAAAAAAACTTATATTTAGTTTTTCTTTTTTTAATTGGTTGCTTTACACACAAAAAACTCTCTCTCAGATTTTTTAAGCATACAAAATCAGAAAAACTTCTTAAATATATTTAAATGTGAAGGAATCTGAGCGGCTGATCCAATGCCTCAAGGGTCCAAACAACAGAATCTGACTAGGTATTAGTAGTGGGCTACGTTCGAGGCATTGAGCCCATTTGTAGCTCAACACTCCGGTTGTCTAGATAGTCCAGTGGACACATCTCTAATTCTACATTAACACTGACGCTGGCAAGTCTGTCTTCCGCAACCTGGCATGGTAACTTCGACTCTTGTCATTCAAAGTTTGAGCTCAAGCCAGCTTTTGTTCTTTTTTACTTTACATGGTATTTAAAAGTATATTGATAATTATTTTTTAAAATACTTTTTTTATTTAAAAATATATTAAATAATTATTTTTTTAAAATTATTTCTAACATCAATACATTAAAATAATTTTGAAAAAATATATAAAAATTTACTTTAAACAAAAATAAAAATTGAATTATCTTGAAATGCCAATTACACCATATTTTTAAATAATGTATAAGAAGGAGTGTTAATCTGAGATGCAACCCATGACTAATTTAGTGTTTATTTAGAAGTGTAGTGAATATAGCTTTTTAAAATATTTTTTATTGTTAAAATAATATTTTTAAAATTTATTTTTTATATCAACATGTTAAAACGATTAAAACATATAAAAGATTACTTCAAAACTAAATTTTTTTAAAAAATACGGTTAAATTGCGGCACTAAACAGTAACTTCATCCAAAACTCAGGTGACAATCAAAGTTATGATATTTTCTTTTAAAAAAATAACATCAAAACAGTTTAAAGTAAAACTAAGCTTGGGATAAACTTTGATTCGATGATTTACTGGGTTGACTAGACAGATGAGGCCAAATTTTATAACTGTGATCTCACCATTCTCATAGTGGAGGAGCATGCTCTGGTAGCCCCCAGGAAGGATGTTAATTTGGAAATCTTTTTTTTTTTTACAAGACTATGCAATGGTCGAGGGAGTGAAAAATGTAGCTGTAAAAAAATAGTCATAAACCGTGACACTACAGAGGGGAAATATATATATATAAAAAAAAAAGAAGCTTTGATGGGAACTGCCTACATTATTCCACTTAAAAATTCCCTGTTGGTGTCTCTAAAAGAAAAGGTTTATTTATCTTATAATTAGTTAACAATCAATCAAAGAAAGTGTTTCGGAACGTTGTTGGAGATTCTCCTCGATGATAAGGGTATTTGAGAAATTTTTAAAGTGTTTTTAATTTTGAAGTATATTAATATATATTTTTTTTATTTAAAAAAATTATTTTTAATATAAACATGTGAAAATAATTTGAAAACATAAAAAATTATTTTTTAAAAAAATATAGATCATGTTTTAAAGAAAATAAAAGTTTATTTATTTTTCTGTTTTAAAAATATTTTTTAAAAAATTAATTTTTTAAAAAATATTTTTAAAACAGAAAAATAAATAAACTTTTATTTTCTTTAAAACATGATCTATATTTTTAAAAAAAATGAAATTCTCTTATAAGAAGGGAAAAAAAAAACTAAACCAGCGTGCAGATCAAGTAAATGATCCATCTTAGTAGCAATCCACGTATCATTCTAATATTTTTATTAAATAATTAATTGATTATAATTGAAAGTACGTCCACTTTATTATCATATATCAATTATATTTATATTGTCTCTTCAACTTTATTGTTAATTCATTTTTTACGAGGACAAAAGTTAAACATTATTAACTCCAAATAATGTAGCATAAAGTCTCGCAAGTCACATCAATCGACCATAGCAATAATTTATGATTTTAATGAATTTTTTCCCCAATAAACTATTTGAAAAAATGTTGGTCAAATGAACTGAGTGCCTGGCTGGTAATCTGGCAATGCAGCCATTTTAAAGCTAAGTGGGGTGCTCCATGAAGCTTTTCCAATATTCTCAATCCCATGTATTTCTTTTTTACAAACTTCAAGCTGCCAATATTACGCATATTCTCTTGCTCGGAGAGAATTCGATTCCCATGTCCACCGAGCATAAATGGCCCTTCCTCCATTCTTTCAATTGTTGAGATTCAAGAATGATACCTAAAAGAGGAAACTGTAGAAATTGGGAATTTTTCCGTTCCTCAGAAAGAACCTGGCAAGGCAATTGTTGCTGCTATTTGGCAACAAAGACATCTTTTGTGGCAGCACCTTCCGTTTTGGTGGCAAGGAATAATTTATACGGGCATAAGATTCAAGAAGCCTGCTCACCCTCCCCCTTCCCATAAACTTACGATATGCAAAGGTTGTCGTGTAAGATGGTGCTTTTAGCCAGTTTCCGCCCTGTCCTTGTCAATGCCACCACACACTTGCCCAGAGAGCATCCACAATGCT